TGTTTCGCCTGTGTTGTTTCTCTTCTGTGTATCTCCTTTCAGTGTATACTCCAGTGGGTGTCAGGAAGAGGGACTCGAGTTGGTTTTTTTAAAAGGAAGACTAGAGAAAGGAGAACAGGACTAGCCTTGTTTCTGTGAAGCAGGTGCTGTTGCTGAGGCTGTGAATCGAGGGGCGGGGGGCAGTGAGAGAGGGAAAAAGGGAGGGAAAGGAGGCAAGAATGAGGGATAAAAATATTAACTCTGAGTTGAAGGGTGTGGATAGTATATGTTTGATGTTCTAATAAAAGTGTGAAGCTGAAATGCACTACTAACTAGTGCACTACACTAAATTTGGCGAGAGTAGGGAAGAGTCATTGTTGAAGGATCATCCACTTTAATAGAAGACTGGAGGTTGAAACTGGCAAGGAGATGTGTGTGGGGGTTTCCATGAAGTCATGTGATAAGGGGTTATATAGAGGAGACTAGTCAGAAAGGGAGAGAGGTGTCTGAATTTCATTTCTTTGAGTTAAGAGCAACATTAGAGATCATTTTGCGAAGAATTAGAAAGAAGAGTTCAGAGGCTTAATGCGTGCTAAAGCAGTATATATTTGGGTTAACTAAAAAATGTCTGATAGCCAGATGTTCTGAATGGGCGAGGGACTCTGAGAAACTGCATCTTGCCTACAAATCCTTATTCCTGCCTTCCACTTGCTTCCTCCTCTGCATCCTAGTCAAATTATTCCTTCTTCATGCTGCAGGTGTCTGAACTATGAAACATTCCAGAGAATGGTGGTACTGTGGAGTCCCAAGATCTTCAATCAACTATGATAAAATATCGAGGTAAAACATTGAGAATTTAACTGCTTCTGACCTGAACAGCTGGTTGTCCCCAAGATTCCTAGAGACAGAGGCCCGCTGACACTGTCCCAAGTAAGAACACATTGGAGGCAGGTGTTCTTGTGAAATAACTTGATGAAGTAAGAAAATGGATGAATTGTAGAACAAAGGGAAATCATACCAATGGAAAGAACAAAGTGCCAAGATCTCAGGGCTCAGGTGGGGCTGATTACATGAAAATAAAAGAACATGACTGTGTTTTCTTCTGTGATGACTTAAACCACCCAATGATATTTTAATGAGTAAAAAACACAACCAAAACTTGACATGAGTTCATCTGATGAATGTATATGCATTGATGTAACCACTGTTTACACTGTTTCCAACCTTACAAGAAGCAAACGATTGCTCCAGCTTAGTCAAAATCTTATACTCACCCAAAGAGAACTGCTATTTTAATACCCATTCCCAAAGAATGGTACTTGCTCTTAAGCTTTGAAAATATAGAGTATTAGTGAGTATAATGGTCTGCACCTTATTTCTTTCACTCATTAATGTGTTGGTTCTTGATTTTAGTCTATTACTGTTAGTGAACCTGCTCAGAATGTTCCAGTGTTTATTTGTTGGTGCCCACCAGACAACATTTCTTCTGGATAAACATCAAGGAATATGAATCACTAACTTTACTTTTTTACACATACAGTGGAGAAATTTATGTGGCAATGATTCAAAAGTCAACGTCCTATCTGAAACAGTTATACATGTGGTGACAACAATGAGGGTTATCACCGACAAATGACTAAATGTCTGAATGCATGGGACTCTTTGCATATGTAATCTCATTTCTTTCTCACAAACACCATATAAATTATCAATTACTATTATTATTATTATTAGGTATTAGTGTTATTGTTGTTTAAAAGCTTTAAATAAAAATATCACAAGACACCAAATTCAATGTCTGCACTGAATATGTGTGTGTGTGTGTGTGTGTGTGTGTGTGTGTGTGTGTGTACATGCTCAGTGAATGGAGCTAAGAGAACAGGAAGTGATGGAATTTCGCACTTCCACATTTAGGCTGGAGGTTCATCTGAGGAGTTTGGATAAACTGAGGAATGAAGGTAACTGTATGTCATATAAACAGAGGGGCACAGGGGGAGTGAAACTGGGATATAGGCTTTATTTTCATTGGTATGTACATGTGTGAACCCATATTTGGGGAGGTGGTGATCTGGAAAGGAGATACAGCACAGTGAACAAGCAGTCTAGGGAAATAAATAATGAAAGAAATGGGAAATTCTTTAAATTCTCAAACTACAGAAATTTGTAGAAAAGCTGCAATGGATGGAAGGAAGAGTTCATGAATTTCTGGTAACTGGGTACTTGGGTACAGAACTGGCCGATAATGTAAGCAATCAAAAAGGTATTATAAGAGTCACGAAAAGAGGCAACTGACATTTAAATATAGAACAGTGGACCTCAGGAGAAAAGTCAAGCTTACAACTAACAAAACTTGGTATTTTTTAGTTTTAAATAGTATAAATACTTGCATTTATGCTATCTATTGCATGTGATGTGGATAGAGACGCTTGAGCTTATTCTATTCATTAAAACAACAACAACAACAACAACTTAAGACAAACACAGTTCAAATTCTGCTCCAAAGGAAAGTATGAAGGCAGGCCTTGAAACACAACGGTTGTTTTGCTACAGCACATTGCCTCTACATAAGAGTAAAGACTGAGTCACACTTGTATCTCCTCATTCCCACTTAAATGTAAAAGAAGTTGCAACAGGAGATACTGTCTGGTTTCTGTGAACTGCAATGTCTGTCCTCACCTCTATGTATGAGATTGCATCCATGTGAACTGGAACCAAGTGTTTTGGCAAAATATGTTGTCCATTTGTTACCATACCCTCTACTGTTAAGCTCTTCTATGGAAATTGACATCATAAAAAGAAATCCAGATGTCAACATCTAACAATCCCAACTGTAACATTTTAAGAAGACTCCATAGTGACTTGTTGGAAGTCATCCTACAGTGTGTCACTTGTGCTTTCTAACACATCACTTGGTCTTTTCAAAATTAGGAACATATAAAAACTATAGTAGGCTACATACTCTTCAAAAATGGGCTTATTCTCTCTGCCCATTCTCTGATGAATGCCCAGGAAAAGGTAGGTACTTGGTGTTTGCTGAATGAATTGCTGTCATCTGTGAAATATTGTTTGTGCTTTAGTTGCATGTGTTTTTTGTAGGTTGATCTCATCAATCACTCGACTATTCTGTTGGCCTTAGCTTCCTCATCTGTTATATAAGCCATTAGACAAAGATAATCTGATAGTTGTATGCCATTTTTTCACATTCCAGGGCTATTTCTGTTTCCTGGCCTTACTTTATTCCATGGCAAATCACTTTGCCTATCTATGTACCATGCTTTTCTCTATGCTGGAGAAGAGGAAAAAATTTCATGAAGGCTTTAGCTCCTTAAGCACCCTTAGTGGAGCAATAAAGATGGCTGAAAAGCCAATAGCTAATATATCCTTTTTCAGTAATTTACAATGAAATGTGCTAATATACCTATGCATTAGTTTTCAAATATGTCAAGTTTAGGAACAAACTTTTTATTTTTTCCTTCCACTCTTTAAATGTGACCTTAAACGTGGCTGGTGCAACTAGATTGAACTATTCAATTAGATTAATCTTGTAGAATGTGTGGCACATATTTTTGTCTTTTAAAGGGCACACATTTGCATTCCTCAGTAAGTAGGTAGCTTGGGACAGCAATTGTTTCGAAGTTGGGGTCCTATATGAAAAGGTGGTGAATTCCATTTATAGAGTAGGAACTGAGCTAAGCACAGCCTTCCAGCACCTGGTGTTTGAATCAGCACTGAACAGGTGATGTTGGAAGGTCATGTTTTTAAAGTAAGTCATTACTTATCATGTGGAAATCCAGGCAAATATCAGATGCCACCATTCCCCAAATTTTGCTTATTTTCTATTGTTTATGGCATACAGCATTTAATGGCAGCAGCCTGTTACAGAGGGAGCAGAATTTACATAAACTCTGGATAGTGATGCTGTTGTTCCTGATACTTAGGGATGGGTTGGCATCTGCCTTGCTGTTTTCTTGACAGAGTTTGCATTGATTTTGATCACAACCTGAGTTATTCTTTTATTACTTTCCCACTGATTAGGATTTGCTGAGGAACTTTTGTTCTCACATATCCTCTCTGCTCTATTCTATTTACTGGATTTTATGAAATTAAATGCTTAAGGTTTCTTTAAGCTAAATCGGCTTTCCCTATCAACCACAGGGTCCCATCATCTTTCTCTTGCTTATGTACATAAGGGTTGTGACTGAAGGGAAATGCATAAGTTGCAAGTGAAAGTTCTATTTTGCGAAACGGTATGAGTTACATTGACTTCCTTCTTTGTTGTTCATCTCTTTTTCAGTTGCTCTATCTATATCAATATTGTAAAAGTTATAATTAAATATTCTGCAAAGTCCATATTGGGTCAAAATGCATACATGTGCAATTATTTATCGCCCACCTACTTAATCCAACAGACAAATCCAGCTAAGAAGTTGCTTTTTCAAAGAAGCCACATTCAAAAAACCTTAAGAATGTACATTTTTATCTAGAATGACACCCCTCACTCCCTCCACCTGCTTTGAAGAAGAACCCTTTAACGTGTGTGCCAGTGTATGCCTTTTCCCAAGCCATTTGGATGATGCTGCCACAGGAGATATTTTTGCATTACAAAGACGCAGTTCTGAGAATGCAGATCAGGTAGTTAATAACTAAGAGCCTGGGGGATGGAAAGGAGGAGAGAGGCAGGAGCATCATCAGCCAGCTGGGGGGCTGACCTGATTCCCTAGAATCCCCAGCCCTCTTCCTCTTTCCTCCCAACATCCTTCCTTCCCTTTTTCTCGCACCCCCAACCCCCCTTTTCCCTTCCCCAGATAAGCGGCTCCGGGAAACAAAGAGCTGGGCTCTCCAGACCTCAGCGCTGGAACCTAGGGCTCTCTGAGAAGCATCTCATTTCGGGGACCAGGGCTCTCAGAGCTCTGTGTCGCCTCCCCAACCTCCCCCGCCTCCCTTGCTTGCTCGTTGCTCCCTCCCTGCTCGCTGCCTCCCCCACCATAGCAGCGCTGGGAGGAAGGCGGCCAGGGCTCAAGATGGCTTTAGCCGGGCTCTGCGCCCTGTTAGCCTGCTGCTGGGGGCCGGCTGCGGTGCTGGCTACAGCTGCCGGCGACGTAGATCCATCCAAGGAGCTGGAGTGCAAGCTCAAGAGCATCACTGTGTCGGCGCTGCCCTTCCTGCGCGAGAACGACCTGAGCATCATGCACAGTCCCTCGGCCTCGGAACCCAAGCTTCTCTTTTCTGTGCGCAATGACTTCCCGGGAGAAATGGTCGTGGTGGACGACCTAGAGAACACGGAGCTACCCTACTTCGTGCTGGGTGAGTCCCGGGAGAGGTCGAAGAGGCCGGAGGAGGTGCTGGACCG